GAACGTCGAACGATAAGAGATCAGTGATGGTTTTTTGAACTCTATGAATCAAAATGCTTTTGTGATTGTTCTTTTTTTACAAGTCACTTTGGTATCCATCGAAGACACTTTCACAATTGGCCTGTCATGTAATTATTGGGAATTGAACAATCCCTGAAAGCCCAGCTTATTGAAGCCTACTCATGAAAATCAATATTTTCAATTTTATGCTGCAAAAATTGCCAAAATATCCAAGATTTTTTCCGAAATTAAGTTACATAATCTTCAGAATGGGTATTGGGGGGGGGGGTTGGTTGTTGTCGAGACTCGTTCAAGTGCAGGCAGCTCATCCCCAGTAATGATGGTCAGCTTGGCTGCAAGTTAGATTTCTTGACATGGATATCAAACCCGCTAAGCAACCAAAAAGCATCTTGCCACTCCAACAATTAGAACCAACCATGAAACCATAAAGGGAAATAAAAACAAAACTCTGTTTTGCAATCATCCCTACAAATGGCTATTAGAACGAATGTCTTCTAAAAAAAGTATTTGATTTGGAATTGTGAAAAATAGGCCATGCAGATTTCCATAGGCCCAAGATTCTTCTTGCAATGATACAGAAATCCTTGCCTCAATTTTTGCCTGAATTGTTTTGACTTTCACTTTCACTTTGTCAATTGACTTTACCAAGTTTCTAATTCTCAAATGCTAAGTGACACTATGAAGCTCTTATCATTGCTTCTTGATTATTGCTATTTAGTATAATTATAGACAAACTTTTATAACATATTTTGATGCATTAAATGAATTCGAATTTGAATTTGAATTGAAGATAAGTTTGCTTGAGATTTGCAACATGCTGCTCTGAAAGTTGCAAAGTATGTATATTTGGACAGGAAGATTTTTTTCTGTGTTGAACTTGAATTAATTTGGCCTTTTTTATCAAATGCTGCAAGATAGGCATGCTAAAGCCATAACATTTCAGAAACGATGATTGTCCTGCTTGAAAGGATCATATTTAAGACAACATTACTACGGCAGACGACGAACAAGGTTAAGGCAGACAAAGGCAAAGCAAACAATGACAAGTCTTTGTATAACAATCTACCTCTATTGTATATTGTATATTGTATATTGAGAGTGATCAAGAAGGCGCAATGGGCGGCTTTATTTGAGGAACTGCTTGTGGGATTCTGCTTGGGTTGGCTGGATTCTTTAGACAATTGTGAGGGGACTAGCGCGAACGCAGGTCCCCACTACCAGAAATTGTACGGTCGAGTTACCCACGTTTGGGGTAATCGCAGGGGTCAGCCCAACCGAACTGCAATGGAAGGGCCTCACCCTGGAAGAAACGCCTTCTTGATCACTTTTTTTTTTTTTCCGTTGAGCCTGGCACATGCCAGCGCCCGTGTAATTGAAAAAAACAAGTATTTACAAATTATTACATACAAAGTTAATATAATTAATTTCACAATGATAGTGTTCACAATTGTTTAATTTAAAGGTTATTATGCAAAGTGTCATGATAATAAAATTGATTTACGAATAGAAATCAGAAGTATAAATATAAGGAGGTATAAATTCAAGTGATATACAATTATAAATGACGTTAATGTTACAATATATAAGATACACGCGTGAGAGAAAAATATTATTTATAAATGAATATTATTGATACAATTAAAATATAAACCAGTCCAAAAATTTACAGCTCATGCGAAGACTGGGTGTATATACAAATGGGGGTTCATCAATACAATAATGTATGACTATGGGGTATAGTTATTCGAAGGGGCTTTTTCTGTATTTTATTAAATTCGAAACGAGGCAGCGAACTCGCCAATTCTAGAATGGCGTGAGGCGTTTTAATTAGTGTTTGCGAAAGCAAGACAGCCAAATTAATCACAAAGGGAGGTATCGGATCTTTGTGTAAACAGTGGGGAGGATTATCATGTTCAAGTGTCATTGAATAGATGTGTTAATCTTCAGTGTCTCGGAAAACACTGAGTGCGATATTGCTCAGATGTTTAAGAGAGCAATCAAGTTACACTATCAGGGGGTTAACAATGGATAAAAAGTTTATCGTCAACAACCGAAGCTAAAACGTTGTTGCGACACCAAGTGGTTTTAAAATTAAAAAGACCAGCGAACGAGGATTTAACGAGAAAAAACTCCTCTTTTATTTTCGAGCGGAGTTTAGCGGTAAAAATTTTAGAGGGGTCGATGGATTCATTATCGAAAACGAGTTTATTTCTAGAAGACCAAACAGCAAGGAGGGCTATATCACGGAGGGCAATTGCGGGCGAGTAAATAGGAAAGGGTTTAATACTAGCAAAACCGATGACAATAAATTGTTCTAAAGAATCTAGATTTAGGTCTAAATCAAGATTTTTAATATGCGAAAGGACGGTGTCCCACAGAAGCGAAACTAGACGGCAATGCATAAAGAGATGTAGTGTAGTTTCATTATGGTTATTACAGCGGGGGCACAAAGGATTGTCGATAATTTTGTGCCTAGCTAAACGATCGGCAGTGGGAATAGCGAGTTGGATTATTTTCCATTGCAGGTCACAAGATTTACGGTCGGAATCTCTAGTAAATATCGATTTGAATATAAATTTCCAGTCAAGATCTGAGAATTTCTTTTCCCAATAAACACGAAACTTTTGGGAAGAAACATCAGTTGAGGACATAAGAGATGCGAGATACAAGTCTTTAGAAGATAATTTACAAAGCGGCTTTTTAATGTCTTTAATAGGCGGAGTGAAATTAATAGAAAAGCGATCTTTAGGGGCAGAATTGGAACGAATGAAATTTTTCCATTCAAGGGGAAGGCATGATAAAATGGAAGAAAGGTCTTTAGGCTTAAATTTACTACCAACTAATTCATTGATAGCGAGTTCAGGGAGAAAACCAGGGGAAAACTCGTAGGTAATATCTCGTAATAAGGTAATTCCTGCATCCACCCAGTAGGGGTTGAGAGGTAGACTATCTTTTGCGATTTTAGGATTCAGAAAGAGAGGTTCGTTAAAGATTTCAAACATGTTATCTAGAGATCTATTATGGTCATTAGTAATAGCGAGATACGCACGGAGGGTGTGTTTATAAAAGGGAGGTAGTTTGTTTATTTCGCGGGACTGTAAATAGCATTTAAGGATATTTTTTCCGATATTTAGATTTTTGTATTTTCCTAAGAAATGGTCAAAGAGAACTTTCCATTTGCCTGTTTGTTCGGGGGCAACGAGTTTGGCTAGCCATGATAAAGGAGGCTGTTACATTTTTTCTCTATATCAAGAACATTGAGGCCACCTTCTTGATAAGGTAGTTTAGCTTGAGATCTAGGGATCGGGGGTCGTTTGCCGTTAAAAAAGAAATGCCAAAGTTTTTCATTAAGTTGTTTGACTGCCCATTGGGGTATTGGGAAAACCGAAGCTGTATACCAGAGTGCAGAGCTTGCAAGCTGATTAACGACAACGGCCTTCCCCCTAAAGGTCAAGTCACGCGACTTCCAAAGATCTAATGTTTTAATAAATTTAGAAACTTTAGGTTCCCAGTTCAGTTTATTTGTGTCTTCAGTACCGAAATAGAGGCCAAGGATTTTGAGGGTTTTCTTTTTCCAGTTAAAACCTAGAGGGGAATCGGGGCGGTTTTTAAAGCTACCAAGCCAGAGGCCTTCGCTTTTATCTTTGTTTATTTTAGCGCCAGAGGCTTTTTCATAGTTCGCGATGTGGTTTTCAATTGCAAGTAAAGATTGGTTACCTTGAAGAAGAAGGGTAGTATCGTCTGCGTATTGTATAATTTTAAATTCAGTTTTACCGACCGTGACGCCCTTAATTGCGGGGTCACAGCGGACATTAGCAGCAAACACCTCAGCAATGAGAACGTAAAGAAGGGCAGAGAGGGGGCAACCTTGTCTGACACCTCTGCTAGGAGTGAAAGGGTCGGAAATAAAATCGTTACATTTAACTTTGCTTTCAATGTTAGTGTATAGAAGTTTTACCCAGCTAATGAAAACAGGACCGAAATTGAATTTTTCAAGTGTTTTAAGGAGAAAGTTCCAGTTTACACGATCAAAGGCTTTCATTTGATCAATAGATAATAGAGCGACCGGGAGATTTTCATTTTCAGAGAATTGAATAATGTCTCGTAAGGCATGGCAATTGCCTAAAATTGAGCGGCCGGGAACAGAGCAAGTTTGGTCTTCAGCTATAATGCTAGTTAGGACTTTCGAAAGACGATTTGCTAGAACTTTGGCTATGATTTTATAGTCACAATTTAAGAGGCTGAGGGGGCGCCAGTTTTTAATGTTTTCTCTGTCGCCTTTTTTAAAGAGGCAAGAAATTAAAGCAATTCTTTGAGAGGGGGTAAGGGATTTATTATCAAAGCAAGAGTTAATTACGTTTAAGAAGTGTTTACCGAGAGATTTCCAAAATAGTTTGTAAAATTCGCACGGTAGTCCGTCTATTCCGGGAGATTTACCATTTACCATAGTTTTTAAGGCAGTGTTTATTTCTTCGAGAGTAAGGGGGTGTTCGCAAATGTTTTTCTCAGTTTCAGAAAGACGTTTACTTATTTTTTGTAAGAGAGTATCCTGAAGGTTTGAGTCGACTGGCTCTTCTTTATAGAGAAAAGCATAAAATTCTTTGACGACATTGACTATTTCAGTCGGGTCAGAGATGGAATTATCATGTTTATCTTTAATTGATTTCATTGTACGGTCGCTTTGTCGTTTCTTTTCAAGGGAGCAGAAATATCTTGTGACTTTTTCGCCTTGTTCGGACCATTTAGCTTTGGACCTAATTTTCACCCCTTCAGCTTCGGAGGCTTCTAGGGATTTCACTTCGTTGCTTATGTTTTTGTAAAGCTTATGAAATCGGGGGTCTCCTGAACTCTCTGCCTTTCTTTTCGCATTTCTGAGTTGTTTGAGAAGTTTAGATTTTTTGCGGAGAAAATGTTTCTTTCGATCTCTAGAATATGTTTTGGCAATGTCAACAAAAGTGTTTTTGCCGTGTTCCCACCATTCGGTTAATGAGGGGAAAGACTCTTGAGATTTTTCCCAGTCGGTGATAAATTGATTAATGGAGTTGATGAATTCTTGCTCTTTCAAAATGCAAGTGTTTAATTTCCATATACCTGGCCCACGTTTAGGGGCTGAGAAGTTGAGGGAAAGAGAAATCCTATCATGATCAGAGTGAGGAAAGGGGTCGATGCGGGGTTTATTAAAAATGTCGCGAAAATTCCTTGAAGTGTAAAATTTATCAATTCGACTAAATGAACCACGAGAACTAGAAAAAGTAAATTCCTTAGAAGAGGGGTTTTGAATACGCCAGATATCTTCTAAGGCATGAGAAGACAGAACTGCTTTTAAATTATTAGCAGTTTTTTCAACATAATTAACGGGGTTGGAGCGATCCGAGGGATCCAGTACGCAGTTAAAATCACCTCCTAAAATTATAGGAAAATCATGAGGAAAATTGTCTAACACCTTATTGAGCTCGTTAAAAAATTCTTTACGATTTGCAATGCCGTCGAGACCGCCTGTGGGAGCGTAAACGTTGCTTAAGATCAATCTATTGTCATCGATTGAAAGGTCGAGAACAATTAGATGGCCTGTGTCGGAAGTATGGCGTGAATGGATTGTGGTTTTCAATCTATCAGAAATAAGAATAGAGACACCCTTTCTATTATCTTTACCAAAGGAATGAAAGGAAGTGCCGGGCCATTGCGAAAATACATTGTTAACATTAACGGGATTAAGGTGGGTTTCTTGCAGGAATAAAATATCAGGCTTAAGGCTATAGAGGTGACGTAAGATTGAATCCGAGCGACGGGGGTCGTTCAACCCATTCACGTTGATACTCGCAACACAAGCCATGAGAAAAAATAAGAACGAAATAAAAACATTGAAAAGTGAAGAAAATTAAGGTTTTAATTAAGAGTTCTCACCAGTGGGTTTTTTACGTACAACGTTCTTTTCAGGGGTTGAAGGAACTGGTCTTTTGGATGTTTTTCTTGTGAAGGGGGCGTATTCGTTGGGGGCTTTGGTCAGTTTTTTGCTTGGTCTTTGTGGCTTTGGTTCCAGTGTCGGATCTTGTTGCGAAGTAATGTTTACAGCTGTTTGGCTAGCGTTGGGGCTTTCGGGCGTTGTAGAGGTGGTGGGGGGCTCATCCTCGCTCGCTGTATTTGTTTTGGCGGATTCATCGTCAATTTCTTCTCCGTCCTCATTATCGTTGATAGGGGTTGGCTCGATTTGATCTTCAACCTCTCCACTGTAACGTCTGCCTCGGGCTCTTTTCAGGGGTACAAACTTCAAACAGTCTTTTTTTGAGTGGTCAGTGGAACCGCAAAGGTAGCAGTGACGCATGTCTCTGGCGGGGCAATCCGAAGTTCTGTGTGTATCTGCCATGCAGATATTACAAAAAACGGGTTTGCCCCTGTAAGAGAGAGAAATCTTCTTGTTTCGCAGAATTACGAAGGGGGGTAATTCAGTGCCTCCTGAAGGGAAAATTGTAACCAGGCGTTTTCCGTTGAAAATGTTGGGAAAACCCTCCCAAGTTTGTTTCCAAACGCGGGTTACGGTACCGTAAAGCGAGAGAATGCTCCCAATTTCATTGTCCGAAATATCTGGTGAAGCGTCCGGGATGGTGATGAGTAAGGCTCTTCTTCTTACTGGAGTAAAAGCAATGCCAGGGTCATCTTCTGGGAGGGACGGAAATTTGACGAGCTCCTCTATAACCGTGTCAACCATGGAGGGCTTTGAAAAAATGATGTTCCACTTACGTCTGCCAGGAAGCGCGGCGAGTGGCATAAGTTGTTGGACACAGTTCTCATCCTTGAATTTTCGGTGAAAATAATTAATAATTTCCTTGTGGTCAATGGTGTCGATGGTCTCGAATTTGGCCGCTTTTGCTGCTAGATCTGATGCAGACATCTTTGCATTTCCTTCTTTCAATTTCTGTGCGAACGTAATAGGCCGCCTTTCACTTTCATCCGAAGCCTTCTTGATCACGTTGTCTTCCCCGTCAGGTAAGTATGAACTACCATTTTGGCTATTGACAACTCGGCGGCTGCAGAAACAAGCCGACACATGTGGGAAGGCTGTTTCAGTAGTCTCTGAATAGATCGATATGTTGAATATTGAGTGAAGAATGTTGAGTCTGACGAGGAAGATGATCAAGTACTGAAATATACTGAAATATAAAACTGATGTACTCACCATCCCTTTCGTGAAGAAAAACTAATCTTGCATCTTGCTCGATAAGTAGTGAGTCAGCCAGCAGTCGTCTGAAATTGAAAATAAGCCTTGAATTTTTGAGCACACAAAGAGGGGTAGCTAGAAATGACTGACTACTAAACAGGCAGGCAGACAAAAAAGCAAGATCAGAAGAACACAAAAACACAACACGTTGAAGGCTTCGCAGTCTGTGTATATTTGATTAACAATCATAAATAAAACTATGTCTAGTACAAGGTTTAAACTACTTAACTACTATGGAAAAGCAACCAACTACATACAATGTTACCTAGCTCCTAGTTAACATTGTAGTTAGTTAGCCAGTCATATCAACAATATGGACTTGAATGATTGCAACTGTGAAAATGTGAAAATCGTTGTTTTCTTGCCAATTGATGAAAAGGGGCTGGGCCACCCATGGCTGTACTGCAATGCCAGGGCAACCCGTGCTCGCGGTGAGGCAAGCCTCATGCCGACAAGCTAGTTCCAAAAATCAGTTTAATATTTGAGCGCCCTTGGGCGCATATCAGATATTAAGCTGATAAGAACAGATACTACACTTGATCTTAGCCAAAAGGCCGAGAAGCGATACCCAGTCTCATGTCTTCAGTTCAGACTCTCCACAAGTCTGCCTCGTTGCTTGCGGAGCGCTCAGTTTTTTTGCCTGTTGCCTGCCTGCCTGCCTGCCTGCCTGCTCCCTCACTCCAGCAGCAAAGTAGTCAATCTGTGGATGTTGAAGAACGTCGTCGAGGTAAGTGAGTTAGTGAATGAGTTATTCGGCTTCACATGGCCACTCAGCAGCATGCAGCAGCAGTTGTGAGCTGCAACAGCAGGGAAAGTCGCTTTCTTCGAAAAAATATGGCTTAAGTTCTACAGCGCGCGCTGTTGCTCCGTGTTGTTGTGCTTACTCTTACTATCTATTCATGAACGAGCCTCCCCGTGACCCAAGAGGCAAAAAGACCACTAGGCTATCATTGGGAAGAAGATTAAACTTAACTTTCAGCTTTCCTTGTGGCAGTCGGATTGGAGAACGGGATAAACTGAGAAGATGAGAGGATGGAAGCTGTTCTATGACTGCATTCTGTCACTGACTGATGATATGATTCTAAGAAAGCCGAAACCTTGCATATAGACACTTGTTCATTACTCGAGTGGCAAACCCAAAGAGTTTATATAATTGAAGGAAAGGTTCACCATAGTTCGAACGTCGAACGATAAGAGATCAGTGATGGTTTTTTGAACTCTATGAATCAAAATGCTTTTGTGATTGTTCTTTTTTTACAAGTCACTTTGGTATCCATCGAAGACACTTTCACAATTGGCCTGTCATGTAATTATTGGGAATTGAACAATCCCTGAAAGCCCAGCTTATTGAAGCCTACTCATGAAAATCAATATTTTCAATTTTATGCTGCAAAAATTGCCAAAATATCCAAGATTTTTTCCGAAATTAAGTTACATAATCTTCAGAATGGGTATTGGGGGGGGGGGTTGGTTGTTGTCGAGACTCGTTCAAGTGCAGGCAGCTCATCCCCAGTAATGATGGTCAGCTTGGCTGCAAGTTAGATTTCTTGACATGGATATCAAACCCGCTAAGCAACCAAAAAGCATCTTGCCACTCCAACAATTAGAACCAACCATGAAACCATAAAGGGAAATAAAAACAAAACTCTGTTTTGCAATCATCCCTACAAATGGCTATTAGAACGAATGTCTTCTAAAAAAAGTATTTGATTTGGAATTGTGAAAAATAGGCCATGCAGATTTCCATAGGCCCAAGATTCTTCTTGCAATGATACAGAAATCCTTGCCTCAATTTTTGCCTGAATTGTTTTGACTTTCACTTTCACTTTGTCAATTGACTTTACCAAGTTTCTAATTCTCAAATGCTAAGTGACACTATGAAGCTCTTATCATTGCTTCTTGATTATTGCTATTTAGTATAATTATAGACAAACTTTTATAACATATTTTGATGCATTAAATGAATTCGAATTTGAATTTGAATTGAAGATAAGTTTGCTTGAGATTTGCAACATGCTGCTCTGAAAGTTGCAAAGTATGTATATTTGGACAGGAAGATTTTTTTCTGTGTTGAACTTGAATTAATTTGGCCTTTTTTATCAAATGCTACAAGATAGGCATGCTAAAGCCATAACATTTCAGAAACGATGATTGTCCTGCTTGAAAGGATCATATTTAAGACAACATTACTACGGCAGACGACGAACAAGGTTAAGGCAGACAAAGGCAAAGCAAACAATGACAAGTCTTTGTATAACAATCTACCTCTATTGTATATTGTATATTGTATATTGAGAGTGATCAAGAAGGCGCAATGGGCGGCTTTATTTGAGGAACTGCTTGTGGGATTCTGCTTGGGTTGGCTGGATTCTTTAGACAATTGTGAGGGGACTAGCGCGAACGCAGGTCCCCACTACCAGAAATTGTACGGTCGAGTTACCCACGTTTGGGGTAATCGCAGGGGTCAGCCCAACCGAACTGCAATGGAAGGGCCTCACCCTGGAAGAAACGCCTTCTTGATCACTTTTTTTTTTTTCCGTTGAGCCTGGCACATGCCAGCGCCCGTGTAATTGAAAAAAAAACAAGTATTTACAATTTATTACATACAAAGTTAATATAGTTAATTTCACAATGATAGTGTTCACAATTGTTTAGTTTGAAGGTTATTATGCGAAGTGTCATGATAATAAAATTAATTTACGAATAGAAATCAGAAGTATAAATATAAGGAGGTATAAATTCAAGTGATATACAATTATAAATTACGTTAATGTTACAATATATAAGATACACGCGTGAGAGAAAAATATTATTTATAAATGAATATTATTGATACAATTAAAATATAAACCAGTCCAAATATTTACAGCTCATGCGAAGACTGGGTGTATATACAAATGGGGGTTCATCAATACAATAATGTATGACTATGGGGTATAGTTATTCGAAGGGGCTTTTTCTGTATTTTATTAAATTCGAAACGAGGCAGCGAACTCGCCAATTCTAGAATGGCGTGAGGCGTTTTAATTAGTGTTTGCGAAAGCGAGACAGCCAAATTAATCACAAAGGGAGGTATCGGATCTTTGTGTAAACAGTGGGGAGGATTATCATGTTCAAGTGTCATTGAATAGATGTGTTAATCTTCAGTGTCTCGGAAAACACTGAGTGCGATATTGCTCAGATGTTGAAGAGAGCAGTCAAGTTATACTATCGGGGGGGTTAACAATGGATAAAAAGTTTATCGTCAACAACCGAAGCTAAAACGTTGTTGCGACACCAAATGGTTTTAAAATTAAAAAGACCAGCGAACGAGGATTTAACGAGAAAAAACTCCTCTTTTATTTTCGAGCGGAGTTTAGCGGTAAAAATTTTAGAGGGGTCGATAGATTCATTATCGAAAACGAGTTTATTTCTAGAAGACCAAACAGCAAGGAGGGCTATATCACGGAGGGCAATTGCAGGCGAGTAAATAGGAGAAGGTTTAATACTAGCAAAACCGATGACAATAAATTGTTCTAAAGAATCTAAATTTAGGTCTAAATCAAGATTTTTGATATGCGAAAGGACGGTGTCCCACAGAAGCGAAACTAGACGGCAATGCATAAAGAGATGTAGTGTAGTTTCATTATGGTTATTACAGCGGGGGCACAAAGGATTGTCGATAATTTTGTGCCTAGCTAAACGATCGGCAGTGGGAATAGCGAGTTGGATTATTTTCCATTGCAGGTCGCAAGATTTACGGTCGGAATCTCTAGTAAATATCGATTTCAATATAAATTTCCAATCAAGATCTGAGAATTTCTTTTCCCAATAAACACGAAACTTTTGGGAAGAAACATCAGTTGAGGACATAAGAGAGGCGAGATACAAGTCTTTAGAAGATAATTTACAAAGCGGCTTTTTAATGTCTTTAATAGGCGGAGTGAAATTAATAGAAAAGCGATCTTTAGGGGCAGAATTGGAACGGATGAAATTTTTCCATTCAAGAGGAAGGCATGATAAAATGGAAGAAAGGTCTTTAGGCTTAAATTTACTACCAACTAATTCATTGATAGCGAGTTCAGGGAGAAAACCAGGAGAAAACTCGTAGGTAATATCTCGTAATAAGGTAATTCCTGCCTCCACCCAGTAGGGGTTGAGAGGTAGACTATCTTTCGCGATTTTAGGATTCAGAAAGAGGGGTTCGTTAAATATTTCAAACATGTTATCTAGAGATCTATTATGATCATTAGTAATAGCGAGATATGCACGGAGGGTGTGTTTATAGAAAGAAGGTAGTTTGTTTATTTCGCGGGACTGTAAATAGCATTTAAGAATATTTTTTCCGATATTTAGATTTTTGTATTTTCCTAAGAAATGGTCAAAGAGAACTTTCCATTTGCCTGTTTGTTCGGGGGCAACGAGTTTGGCTAGCCATGATAAAAGGAGGCTATTACATTTCTTCTCTATATCAAGAACATTGAGGCCACCTTCTTGATAAGGTAGTTTAGCTTGAGATCTAGGGATCGAGGGTCGTTTGCCGTTAAAAAAGAAATGCCAAAGTTTTTCATTAAGTTGTTTGACTGCCCATTGGGGTATTGGGAAAACCGAAGCTGTATACCAGAGTGCAGAGCTTGCAAGCTGATTAACAACAACGGCCTTCCCCCTAAAGGTCAAGTCACGCGACTTCCAAAGATCTAATGTTTTAATAAATTTAGAAACTTTAGGTTCCCAGTTCAGTTTATTTGTGTCTTCAGTACCGAAATAGAGGCCAAGGATTTTGAGGGTTTTCTTTTTCCAGTTAAAACCTAGAGGGGAATCTGGGCGGTTTTTAAAGCTACCAAGCCAGAGGCCTTCGCTTTTATCTTTGTTTATTTTAGCGCCAGAGGCTTTTTCATAGTTCGCGATGTGGTTTTCAATTGCAAGTAAGGATTGGTTACCTTGAAGAAGAAGGGTAGTATCGTCTGCGTATTGTATAATTTTAAATTCAGTTTTACCGACCGTGACGCCCTTAATTGCGGGGTCACAGCGGACATTAGCAGCAAACACCTCAGCAATGAGAACGTAAAGAAGGGCAGAGAGGGGGCAACCTTGTCTGACACCTCTGCTAGGAGTGAAAGGGTCGGAAATAAAATCGTTACATTTAACTTTGCTTTCAATGTTAGTGTATAGAAGTTTTACCCAGCTAATGAAAACAGGACCGAAATTGAATTTTTCAAGTGTTTTAAGGAGAAAGTTCCAATTTACACGATCAAAGGCTTTCATTTGATCAATAGATAATAGAGCGACCGGGAGGTTTTCATTTTCAGAGAATTGAATAATGTCTCGTAAGGCATGGCAATTGCCTAAAATTGAGCGGCCGGGAACAGAGCAAGTTTGGTCTTCAGCTATAATGCTAGTTAGGACTTTCGAAAGACGATTAGCTAGAACTTTGGCTATGATTTTATAGTCACAATTTAAGAGGCTGAGGGGGCGCCAGTTTTTAATGTTTTCTCTGTCGCCTTTTTTAAAGAGGCAAGAAATTAAAGCAATTCTTTGAGAGGGGGTAAGGGATTTATTATCAAAGCAAGAGTTAATTACGTTTAAGAAGTGTTTACCGAGAGATTTCCAAAATAGTTTGTAAAATTCGCACGGTAGTCCGTCTATTCCGGGAGATTTACCATTTACCATAGTTTTTAAGGCAGTGTTTATTTCTTCGAGAGTAAGGGGGTGTTCGCAAATGTTTTTCTCAGTTTCAGAAAGACGTTTACTTATTTTTTGTAAGAGAGTATCCTGAAGGTTTGAGTCGACTGGCTCTTCTTTATAGAGAAAAGCATAAAATTCTTTGACGACATTGACTATTTCAGTCGGGTCAGAGATGGAATTATCATGTTTATCTTTAATTGATTTCATTGTACGGTCGCTTTGTCGTTTCTTTTCAAGGGAGCAGAAATATCTTGTGACTTTTTCGCCTTGTTCGGACCATTTAGCTTTGGACCTAATTTTCACCCCTTCAGCTTCGGAGGCTTCTAGGGATTTCACTTCGTTGCTTATGTTTTTGTAAAGCTTCTGAAATCGGGGGTCCCCTGAACTCTCTGCCTTTCTTTTCGCATTTCTGAGTTGTTTGAGAAGTTTGGATTTTTTGCGGAGAAAATGTTTCTTTCGGTCTCTAGAATATGTTTTGGCAATGTCAACAAAAGTGTTTTTGCCGTGTTCCCACCATTCGGTTAATGAGGGGAAAGACTCTTGAGATTTTTCCCAGTCGGTGATAAATTGATTAATGGAGTTGATGAATTCTTGCTCTTTCAAAATGCAAGTGTTTAATTTCCATATACCTGGCCCACGTTTAGGGGCTGAGAAATTGAGGGAAAGAGAAATCCTATCATGATCAGAGTGAGGAAAGGGATCGATGCGGGGTTTATTAAAAATGTCGCGAAAATTCCTTGAAGTGTAAAATTTATCAATTCGACTAAATGAACCACGAGAACTAGAAAAAGTAAATTCCTTAGAAGAGGGGTTTTGTATACGCCAGATATCTTCTAAGGAATAAGAAGACAGAACTGCTTTTAAATTATTAGCAGTTTTTTCAACATAATTAACGGGGTTGGAGCGATCCGAGGGATCCAGTACGCAGTTAAAATCACCTCCTAAAATTATAGGAAAATCATGAGGAAAATTGTCTAACACCTTATTGAGCTCGTTAAAAAATTCCTTACGATTTGCAATGCCGTCGAGACCGCCTGTGGGAGCGTATACGTTGCCTAAGATCAATCTATTGTCATCGATTGAAAGGTCGAGAACAATTAGATGGCCTGTGTCGGAAGTATGGCGTGAATGGATTGTGGTTTTCAATCTATCAGAAATTAGAATAGAGACACCCTTTCTATTATCTTTACCAAAGGAATGAAAGGTAGTGCCGGGCCATTGCGAAAATACATTGTTAACATTAACGGGATTAAGGTGGGTTTCTTGCAGGAATAAAATATCAGGCTTAAGGCTATAGAGGTGACGTAAGATTGAATCCGAGCGACGGGGGTCGTTCAACCCATTCACGTTGATACTCACAACACAAGCCATGAGAAAAAATAAGAACGAAATAAAAACATTGAAAAGTAAAGAAAATTAGGGTTTTAATTAAGAGTTCTCACCAGTGGGTTTTTTACGAGAAACAGTCTTTTCAGGGGTTGAAGGAACTGGTCTTTTTACAGGTTTCCTTGTGAAAGGTGCATAGTCGTCCGGGGTTTTTGTTTTCTTGGCTGTTAACGAAGGTTTTTGTGTTCTTTGGGGTTGAGGTTTTTGATCCTGGTTTGCGTCGATGCTTTCCGTAATGTTTTCTTCAATCGGGTGAGGGGGTTCAGGGGTTGTAGTGGTCGTCGTAGCAAGAGGGGCTTCATCGGTAATGGTTTCGTCCGCTATTAATGCTGGTGTAGTACAGTTTTCTTCGCTCTGATCCTCGCTCGTATTTTCATGAGGTTGTGGCATTCCATCCTCTGGCTCAATTTCTCCACTATATCTCCTACCCCGGGCCCATTTTAGGGGGACGAATTTTTCACAATCTTTCTTGTTATGCTCTGTGGAGCCACAAAGATAACAGTGACTGACGTTCCGAGAGGGGCAATCTGATGTTCTGTGAGTATCTGACATGCAAATATTACAGAACACAGGCTTGCCCCGGTATGAAAGAGAAATTTTTTTGTTGCGAATAATTATAAATGGAGGCAACTCAGTACCTCCAGAAGGGAAGATAGTAACGAGCCTTTTTCCATTAAAAATATTCGGGAATCCTTCCCATGTTTGTTTCCATACACGGGTTACAGTTCCATGTCTTGACAAGGCATTTCCAATTTCATTGTCGGAGACATCTGGCGATGCATCAGGAATTGTGATTAACAGCGCTCTTCTTCGTACAGGAGTGAAAGAGATACCAGGATCGTCAGCGGCCAAGGATGGAAACTTAACTAACGAGTCCAGTACTTTATCCACCATTGATGGTTTAGAAAAAATGATGTTCCATTTTCGCCTTCCTGGGAGGGCAGCAAGGGGCATCAGCTGTTGTATGCAGTTTGGATCATTAAAAAATTCGTGAAAGTATCCAATAATTTCCTTGAAGTTGATCTCTGCACTTGTTTCGAATTTTGCTGCTCTGGCTGCTAAATCACTTGCGGTCATTTTGGCATTTCCTTGTTTCAACTTCTCAGCGAATGATATAGGTCTCTCTTTAGGTTCATCAATATCTCCCCAAATAAATGGTACATTGGAAGCCATTTCCACGAGAAATAGTTCGTAATGAGTACTAAAGGCTTTAAAGCTTAGTTAGTATATAATTTAAGAACCACGAGTTGCTATAAACAGTAAAAACCGCCGATAGCACGAGGAGCTCGAAAAAGCGTGACCGGCCGCTACGCCTTCTTGATCACGTTGTCTTCCCCGTCAGGTAAGTATGAACTACCATTTTGGCTATTGACAACTCGGCGGCTGCAGAAACAAGCCGACACATGTGGGAAGGCTGTTTCAGTAGTCTCTGAATAGATCGATATGTTGAATATTGAGTGAAGAATGTTGAGTCTGACGAGGAAGATGATCAAGTACTGAAATATACTGAAATATAAAACTGATGTACTCACCATCCCTTTCGTGAAGAAAAACTAATCTTGCATCTTGCTCGATAAGTAGTGAGTCAGCCAGCAGTCGTCTGAAATTGAAAATAAGCCTTGAATTTTTGAGCACACAAAGAGGGGTAGCTAGAAATGACTGACTACTAAACAGGCAGGCAGACAAAAAAGCAAGATCAGAAGAACACAAAAACACAACACGTTGAAGGCTTCGCAGTCTGTGTATATTTGATTAACAATCATAAATAAAACAAGGTCTAGTACAAGGTTTAAACTACTTAACTACTATGGAAAAGCAACCAACTACATACAATGTTACCTAGCTCCTAGTTAACATTGTAGTTAGTTAGCCAGTCATATCAACAATATGGACTTGAATGATTGCAACTGTGAAAATGTGAAAATCGTTGTTTTCTTGCCAATTGATGAAAAGGGGCTGGGCCACCCATGGCTGTACTGCAATGCCAGGGCAACCCGTGCTCGCGGTGAGGCAAGCCTCATGCCGACAAGCTAGTTCCAAAAATCAGTTTAATATTTGAGCGCCCTTGGGCGCATATCAGATATTAAGCTGATAAGAACAGATACTACACTTGATCTTAGCCAAAAGGCCGAGAAGCGATACCCAGTCTCATGTCTTCAGTTCAGACTCTCCACAAGTCTGCCTCGTTGCTTGCGGAGCGCTCAGTTTTTTTGCCTGTTGCCTGCCTGCCTGCCTGCCTGCTCCCTCACTCCAGCAGCAAAGTAGTCAATCTGTGGATGTTGAAGAACGTCGTCGAGGTAAGTGAGTTAGTGAATGAGTTATTCGGCTTCACATGGCCACTCAGCAGCATGCAGCAGCAGTTGTGAGCTGCAACAGCAGGGAAAGTCGCTTTCTTCGAAAAAATATGGCTTAAGTTCTACAGCGCGCGCTGTTGCTCCGTGTTGTTGTGCTTCCTCTTACTATCTATTCATGAACGAGCCTCCCCGTGACCCAAGAGGCAAAAAGACCACTAGACTATCATTGGGAAGAAGATTAAACTTAACTTTCAGCTTTCCTTGTGGCAGTCGGATTGGAGAACGGGATAAACTGAGAAGATGAGAGGATGGAAGCTGTTCTATGACTGCATTCTGTCACTGACTGATGATATGATTCTAAGAAAGCCGAAACCTTGCATATAGACACTTGTTCATTACTCGAGTGGCAAACCCAAAGAGTTTATATAATTGAAGGAAAGGTTCACCATAGTTCGAACGTCGAACGATAAGAGATCAGTGATGGTTTTTTGAACTCTATGAATCAAAATGCTTTTGTGATTGTTCTTTTTTTACAAGTCACTTTGGTATCCATCGAAGACACTTTCACAATTGGCCTGTCATGTAATTATTGGGAATTGAACAATCCCTGAAAGCCCAGCTTATTGAAGCCTACTCATGAAAATCAATATTTTCAATTTTATGCTGCAAAAATTGCCAAAATATCCAAGATTTTTTCCGAAATTAAGTTACATAATCTTCAGAATGGGTATTGGGGGGGGGGGTTGGTTGTTGTCGAGACTCGTTCAAGTGCAGGCAGCTCATCCCCAGTAATGATGGTCAGCTTGGCTGCAAGTTAGATTTCTTGACATGGATATCAAACCCGCTAAGCAACCAAAAAGCATCTTGCCACTCCAACAATTAGAACCAACCATGAAACCATAAAGGGAAATAAAAACAAAACTCTGTTTTGCAATCATCCCTACAAATGGCTATTAGAACGAATGTCTTCTAAAAAAAGTATTTGATTTGGAATTGTGAAAAATAGGCCATGCAGATTTCCATAGGCCCAAGATTCTTCTTGCAATGATACAGAAATCCTTGCCTCAATTTTTGCCTGAATTGTTTTGACTTTCACTTTCACTTTGTCAATTGACTTTACCAAGTTTCTAATTCTCAAATGCTAAGTGACACTATGAAGCTCTTATCATTGCTTCTTGATTATTGCTATTTAGTATAATTATAGACAAACTTTTATAACATATTTTGATGCATTAAATGAATTCGAATTTGAATTTGAATTGAAGATAAGTTTGCTTGAGATTTGCAACATGCTGCTCTGAAAGTTGCAAAGTATGTATATTTGGACAGGAAGATTTTTTTCTGTGTTGAACTTGAATTAATTTGGCCTTTTTTATCAAATGCTGCAAGATAGGCATGCTAAAGCCATAACATTTCAGAAACGATGATTGTCCTGCTTGAAAGGATCATATTTAAGACAACATTACTACGGCAGACGACGAACAAGGTTAAGGCAGACAAAGGCAAAGCAAACAATGACAAGTCTTTGTATAACAATCTACCTCTATTGTATATTGTATATTGTATATTGAGAGTGATCAAGAAGGCGCAATGGGCGGCTTTATTTGAGGAACTGCTTGTGGGATTCTGCTTGGGTTGGCTGGATTCTTTAGACAATTGTGAGGGGACTAGCGCGAACGCAGGTCCCCACTACCAGAAATTGTACGGTCGAGTTACCCACGTTTGGGGTAATCGCAGGGGTCAGCCCAACCGAACTGCAATGGAAGGGCCTCACCCTGGAAGAAACGCCTTCTTGATCACTTTTTTTTTTTCCGTTGAGCCTGGCACATGCCAGCGCCCGTGTAATTGAAAAAAACAAGTATTTACAATTTATTACATACAAAGTTAATATAATTAATTTCACAATGATAGTGTTCACAATTGTTTAGTTTGAAGGTAATTATGCATTTAACAGGTTAGATGATAATGAAATTAATTCACGAATAGAAAACAGAAGTATAAATATAAGGTGGTATAAATTTAAGTGATATACAATTATAAATGACGTTAATGTTAAAATATATAAGATACACGCGTGAGAGAAAAGTATTATTTATAAATGAATGTTATCGATACAATTAAAATATAAACCAGTCCAAAAATTTACAGCTCATGCGAAGACTGGGTGTATATACAAGTGGGGGTTCATCAATACAATAATGTATGACTATGGGGTATAGTTATTCGAAGGGGCTTTTTCTGTATTCTATTAAATTCGAAACGAGGCAGCGAACTCGACAATTCTAGAATGGCGTGAGGCGCTTTAATTAGTGTTTGCGAAAGCCAGACAGCCAAATTAATCATAAAGGGAGGTATCGGATCTTTGTGTAAACAGTGGGGAGGATTATCATGTTCAAGTGTCATTGAATAGATGTGTTAATCTTCAGTGTCTCGGAAAACACTGAGTGCGATATTGCTCAGATGTTGAAGAGAGCAGTCAAGTTATACTATCGGGGGGGTTAACAATGGATAAAAAGTTTATCGTCAACAACCGAAGCTAAAACGTTGTTGCGACACCAAATGGTTTTAAAATTAAAAAGACCAGCGAACGAGGATTTAACGAGAAAAAACTCCTCTTTTATTTTCGAGCGGAGTTTAGCAGTAAAAATTTTAGAGGGGTCGATAGATTCATTATCGAAAACGAGTTTATTTCTAGAAGACCAAACAGCAAGGAGGGCTATATCACGGAGGGCAATTGCAGGCGAGTAAATAGGAGAAGGTTTAATACTAGCAAAACCGATGACAATAAATTGTTCTAAAGAATCTAAATTTAGGTCTAAATCAAGATTTTTGATATGCGAAAGGACGGTGTCCCACAGAAGCGAAACTAGACGGCAATGCATAAAGAGATGTAGTGTAGTTTCATTATGGTTATTACAGCGGGGGCACAAAGGATTGTCGATAATTTTGT